TTTCATTTGGATGGGCCTGAAATACCCAACGTGTGTGGCCAGTCTCCCCATTCGGGTGTGCATTTGACATCCTGACAGGAACGCTGGGACTTCAGCAGGGATGGCTGAGCTGGAGACCTTGGATTTGGCTGCAGATTCTTTCTGACCTTCCTCTGAGGCCAGAAGTTTTTGAAACTAGATATGACCGTCGACCAGTCTTTGCATTGGACTGATGAAGAAAATAAGGCTCAGAGAGTTTAAAAGTAACTTACCCAGGGTCACACAGCTAGTCTACACAGGGCTAGGAACAGAACCCATATGTGTGCACAGTGATGCTTTGGGGGCTATCTGGCCTGTGTCACCTCCCTTGACATTTTTTTCTCTTGTCCATCGTACCAAGGCGCTGAATGGTGCAGAGCAGCTCTGCCATGCCTTTCACAGAAATTATTTATTCCTCCGTTGATGATTTTGCTTTACTTCCCTCTGCCATGTGTGTTGTCAGAATGTCTAGAAAAATATGACAGCTGGTATTCCATTCAGGGACAACACTTGGGGGGATGCGTCTTGAAAGGGCTCACACACAGATCTTGCTGCACTTCTACTCAACTTCCAAATCTAATATGATTTCATTGGCAGTGCACTTGGAAACGAGTAAGGATGATGATGAGGCATCGTTCTGTAAGGAGCCTTGGAAACACCTATGCCCAGATAAATGACCCAGGGCGACAAATGACGAGGGCTTTGTCAGGTAGCCCTGGGTTCAAATCCTTACTCGCTGTTTGACTTTGGCCAAATTACTCCACCTTGCTGAGCCTCAGTTTCTTCATCTGTAAACATATTGGAAGCAGTAAGCCAAACTTAATATATAGTATAATTTATCATAAGAACGCTTAATAAGGACCCAGTGACAGGCAAATAAATGATTTGACCACAAGACTATTCAGTTCCCTATACGTCAGCAACTGGAACCAATAAAAATACGAATTTGTCTTTCAGTGTCACTGAGCTTATATTCTCCGAAAACAAAATGTCTTACAAGTGGTCAAACTGAAGCAAACCATCTTAAACCTCTCTTATGTAGCATGGACGGTGAGTGGGCATTGTGGGTAGTCACATAATCTTGTATCTAACCCATTTGGTGGATGCTGACCTATTTATTTTTCCAAAGAATTACAACACAATATACTGACAACTAACACCTCAGTACATTGAGCACAATTTATCTTAATAAGGGAATTAAAAAATATCTGAGGCATTGGGAGTGCCTGAAAGTCCTACTTTCAGCAATGTTCTTATTGCACTGGGGACATATAGGCTGCCAGCCAGTGAGTAATGCCAAAGAGCCCCTGGATTCAGGGGGTTAAATGACCTCATGCCCAAAGCACCCAGCACAGTGGGTGGCACCTGGCCAAGTGCCTGACTCAGACTAGATGATTTCCCATCTGGAAGCCACGCGTGAATGAAGGAAGGGTCTACTTCTGAACCCTTGAGTTACATTCTTCTAGTCTCTTCCCTGCCTTCCTAGGAGTTTCTGTAGATGACTTCTTTTGGTTCTTCAGGAAAATGGGTTCTAGACATGATGTGAGCCCCCAGTTCTGGGTTCCTCGAAGTCAGAAACCTTTCCTTATATGCAGCTTGGAATTTCATCCTAGTTCCTTCTGTTCTTTCCTTGGGAGAAGATGGAAAAAACTGCTGCTTACTTATGATCACAGAGCCCTCCCTACCATAAAGATAAGCCAGATCAGAAGGTATGAGGGGCTGCGCGCGTGTGTGTGTGTATCTCTTGTTTGTGTTTACTTAAAAATCAAATAAAGAAAACAAAATCAAGCCAAAATGAAAACTAAAAGGAGGACAAAAACCCTAAACTTCTCCCATCGAGGGTACCACACCCATTGGGCTCCTGGACTATTTCTCTTTCCTTTATTCTTCTCCATTCATTCACCCGTGAATTGCTGATTGGCACAGTGTCATGCAGGTTGGCTGCAGCAACATTTTCAAACCTTTTCCACACTCCAGGATCTCGGTCTTGACTCTAACTTTGCTGAGCTCAAAGCAATCTGATGTGGGCTTCTTTAAATTCTGACTCTGCCACAAAACATCTGTTTTCTTGACCATCTCCTTCTTCTTTGCTCCGAGACAGATGTGCCCTTTCACCTTTTTAAGGCAAAGACCTTCTGCACCTTTAGGTTTTATTTCTCATTGACTCCTTCCTCTGACATGAACTAGGGCAGGACTTCCACTCCCCTTGGATCAGCTGGTTTGAAGATAAGCTGGTTAGCATGGGTAGATACTTGCTGCAGCAAAGCCCCAACAAGAGGAGGAGGGAAGAGCTTCCTGGGAGCAAGCAGCAAGAGAGGAGGTGGCCTGAGTGGGGGAGTCTGGGGGACATGTCCTGCCTGGGTCCTCTCTTGTTGGTCACTTGGGGTTACAAAGAAGATTAGATATGAAGAGAAAGTGTCTCATTGCTTAAAAGAAAGAAAGAAAGGAAACCACCTTGTCCCTTCAGAGTTAGATGCTAGATTTATCAAGCCTTGGGATGGTAGAAGCTGATTGGGTGGGTGGGGCATTTGAGATGCCAGTGAGGACATCCCTGAAGTGGCTGGAGAGGGCACGCAGCCTGGGCTGAGGCAAGACAGACAGGAAGGAGTTGACAGCTTGGGGGACAAGGAGGTCCCAAAGGGCTCAGGGCTGAGAGGAGGGTGAGCAGATTGAGGAGGCATGGGCAATGCAACTGCACGATCAGACGGCAGGAGAAGAAGGGAGAGTTTCAACACACCAGTAGGGCCTTGTCTGTGGGCAGCAGACGTGAAAGAAAGATGGAAGGGAGGAGGCCAAGGTCAGTCGCAGGGTCTCAGATGGACTCTTTCAGTCCTAGGGCACCAGGGGTGAACTCAGTGCCTATGCGTCCATCTCTTCCTGGACACTTTTTCCCAAAATACAATCAGGAAGGCCCTTTCCTGAGTATAGAGAGGGTTGTGGGCATGAAATACATGCACCACTGATTTTGATCGTATCAGAGATTGGAAAAATCTTAAACCTAAACACAAACCAACGAGCTTGCATTTGGGGCCAAAATGAAGTGATATAATATTAAACGAACTGACATGAAAATATGCAAAAGGGATTATGTAATCAAGACCACAGCGGTCATTCAAGAAAGCCATGTGCTAATTACAAATAATTCTTTTATGAAATATGATAATGAATTTTAAAGCATTTGGCACAGTGCCTGGCACTTAGTTCCTCCCCCAAAATGGTAGCTTTTGCCAATGTTACATGTACCAATCATTAAAGCAGACCCAGTAAGGCTTCCATTTGGCAACTCTTTTGTCAGTCACTTATTTTATTAACATGTGAGCTTTTGAGTTGTAAAAAGACATTGCTTAGATTTCAGATTACTTCTCAGTGCACTGTGACCTTTCTCAAATTACTAAAACTTGTGACATTTCTCTGAACAAAACACTGATCCATAAACAAAAGCTCTTGTGGAAAACGAGATGCCCAGAAATACTCCCCCAAACCTGTCTCAAGAGTGGTGGCTGACAGCTGGGGGCTGGAGCCCCACATGCTTCCGTTGTTTGAGCACAAAGTCTGTCAGCTAGGAATGAGGTGGAACTGGGAGTCTGGGCCTGCTGTTCTCCCAAGTTTTAGTCCAATCTCTGCCCTCCTCACTCCTGCTCACCCTCTCAATCCTGCTGCCTGTCTGGCTGGAAGTGGCATTGGCTGTGACCATCCTGCCCTTTGTGGTCTGTACGGCTCCGACTCCAAATACAGGCATTGATGCTACAGCCCAGGTCACAAGAAGGGAGACCACGGCAGCTTCTGGACCACAACTGGGTTTTGTTTGCCCTGCATAGCACTTCTGAAAATTTTAAATTTGAATGGTTTTACAAGGGTCATTGCTTTCAAGTTTACCCCAGTCGGCGCCACTTCCTATTTCCCTGGCTTGAGTTAATTTAGTTTGTCACCTCCGAGTGAAAGCCATCTCCTGTTTCTTCTTGTTGTGGCCTTTCATCCTGGCATGTGATGCAGCAGGGCAGGCCCAACAGGGCCATGGGAGGCCAGGTCTGAATGAATCGCTGGCCAGCTCCAAGACCAGGGAACCAAATGCCATGCTGGTGTCTAGGTGACAGCTTACCACCTATATACTGACTTGTTCAAATGTTCAGAAAAAAGAATAGAAAAAAACAGTTTGCCTCTTTAAGAAATCTCAGCAGTGGACAAGTTAAAAATTGTTGTTAGCCTGCTATGCTGTTTTAATGTAATTATAGAATTGTTTTGTACATCAGAGCTGTTAAAGCAGCTCAGATTTTCAAAGTTAGAAAGAGAGATGAAATTATTTAGCTTCCCGGGAACTCTCTACTGATTAGGGGATAAGGTGGCTTTTTTTTTTCCTTAAATTTTCTTTCATGAGCCTAAGAAAAATGGTCTCTCATGGGTCTCTCTTTTGGCCTCAGGAGAGCCTTATTTCTCTGTAACTACATGGTTAAGTTCATGAGAGTCCTTTCATGAACAGGGCTCTTTGACCAGTGTATTCAGGGAGCATGGCAGAGAGGTCATCCATTCCTAAGGATTGTGTGAGGTAGACATAATTACCCTGATGTTTATAGACGAGGAAAACACTCAGAGAAGGTACACTACTGCCCAAGGTCACACAATTTGCCACTGAACTTGATCCAAGTTTACCAACAGCCTAAACAGCCTCTTTCCACCACCCCATGTAGCCCCCACTTAGTAAAGGCAAATACCACCTAGCCACACATCTAACCACAGACCCAGCGGGTCACTGCAAGAAGAACGGGGTCAATCCTGCAAGAATGTGGAGTTTCGGGAAAAAATTGGAAAAAAAGAAACTTACTGCATCTTTGCAAAAGGGATCTTTTAACCTCAGTCCTGGATTCGTGGCTTCAGTACAAGGCCACTTCAGCCCAGGAGACTATAGACACATTTTTTCATACAGAAGATGTGGAGGTGTTGGCCTATCCCAGACCAGGAAGGAAGCAGAAGCAGGGGATACCTACCGCCTTCAAACTCTGTCTGGCAGTTCCCTGATGTCTCATTCAGGCTCTCTTCCTCGTTGATGATGATGTTCTCAATGTCCTTCATGGTGAGGTGGTCCCGGAAGGCGTGATAGAGGATGTGCTTCAGCTCTTCCAGAGTGATCCTTTGCATGTCGAACTGCGGAGATAAAGAGGAGTAAGAGGGCCTGGGGCACAAGAGGGTGAGGACTCAGCTTGGGCCACAACTGGCAAGGCCTAACGCCCTAAAGCTGCTCTCTGGAAACTTCTCTCAGATTTTCAGGACATCAGCTGGGCAGCTTTCCATTACGTTCGGCTCCAAGCATCCTTGTGAATTTGCAGGGGCTTATTGGGATCACAGTGAGTGCAACATAAAGCCACCTGCTAGTTTGCTTTCCCACTCACTCAGCCATCTGCTGCCACCCCTCCACACCTCATGTGCTTTGGAGTTGGAGACAATGCATACGTCTCTAAAATTTTTCATCTCCCAAGAAGCCAGCAATTCCCATCTTGCTTTAAGTATGTATCTTGTTCTAACAAGATAAAATGCAAGTTCAAAGCTGTGTTTACGAGGAAGAACAGCTGAAGGGGGCATGTAGGATTCCCAGTCAGGTTCCTCCCATCCTGGTGAGGGAATTAAACTCGTCTCCTCCATATCTATCACGTCCAGCTGGGTCACTTTCTTAGCCAATGAAATGTGAGTAGTCACATATGCCACATCCAGTTACATAAAAGCTTTGAGAGTCATTGTGTAGTTCTGTTGTTTGTTCTTTTCCCTCTGCTGTGAGCACAACCTGCCCCACAGAGGGGCTGCTCCTTCTGTCTGGGTCCCAGAATGAGGATAAATAGAGAAGATGTGCAGCTATCCCATAAAGGACAAGTAATGTGGGTAAGAAATACCCTTTGTTGTTATTAGCCATAGAGATTTTGGGCTTGTTTGCTACCACAGCATAACTTAGTTTAAGTCAACAATACAGATATTAATACAGAGAAGTGAGAAGCTACCCTAAAAACATTCTATAATACGGTGTATTGGTTCTAGGGCTAGGCAGTAGGAAATAAGATAATTGTTATTGGAGGCTGGAAAGGTAATGACCCATGTTATGCAGTAGCAAAGCATTTGGTAAAATTGTTGCCTATGATAACTTGGAGGACAGATATATACTGAATGAGTTTGTGGCTTTAGGTAAAAAGTTTGGGAAATAGCATGCTCTGGTTGCATCTGGTTGCATCTGACAGGGTACTACAAGAAAGAGACGAGCTCAGGAAAGAATTGGTTGGTTTCTAAGCCAGGAATAAAGACAATCAGAAATTCCTGGTCTTGCAGGGTTGAAAGAAGCAGTTGCTTCTCATGTCCACCTAGGAAAAGAAAAATGTGAGCAATCCTTTAAATAATAATATAGGCTTATTAAAACAAATCAAAGTGTCCCTTGTTAAAACCTTTGAATATGTTAAGTGACTCTCCTAGGAAGCTGGTTATTAAGTTTAAGAAGTATGTTTCAAAAATACTTGTGGTTTTGGCTATTAGCATAAACCAATTGAAACTGAATAGATAAGAAAATGACTACATTTTTGAGAGAGTTGTACTGGCCAAGAGCCAACAGCCTGGGATTAAAAGACTCTATGACTGTTCAAAATGTAAAATGATCTTTGAGGTCCCAATGTTCTAAGGGTACACACCATTATCAGGATAAACTATACCGGCCACAAGAAGGGCCTATTTTCCAATTCCCTCATCAGATGAGTACAAGGAGTAGAAAAGGCTGGATCTCTCAGAGGGTGAGGCTGGGAATCATGCTTGAAATCACTGCAGTGAAATCAAGAGCAATATCCAGGAAGCAGAACTAGGGTCTAAACAAGGAATATTCCTCACCCCAAGGTCTGTCCCAACAGGATTTCAGAACTGCTCTGCACCTTTGATGGCTGTGTCTCCCATTTTTTGCTTTGTGGATGAGAATGTTTGCGGTAGTTAGCCTGACCCTGTTCCACCATCCTATGTTGAGTGTGTGTGAGGGGGTATAATTTGTCTTTTTAGTTCATATGTCTCCAGATCAAGAGGTGCCACATCCAGATTTGATGTGTATCATGAAACTCTAGATCTTGAATCTCATGTGGTAATAGGATGAGACTGGGTGTCTCTCTTGAGGAGAGGATGGGTATATTTTGTGGCAGAAGGGAGGGAAATAAATATTTATGAGCAAGAATGTGGATTGTAACAGGTTATATTATTTCCAATTATTTGTTTTACTCTCCGTGGCAGAATTATATCTCCCTGCCCATTGACAGCAGGCTTTGGCCAATTCAATGAAAGTGAAAGTGATATTTGAAAGTGATGAAAGTCCAAGAAGTCTTGAAGCCACCATGTTTTCTGCTATTTCTCTTTTTCTTCTGCCAAAAGAACACTTACACCAAATAAGGGCTGGTCCTTCATCCTGGGTCCTGGAATGAACACAGCGTGGGATCAGCCCATGAAGGGCATATAATTTGAGTGAGAAGTAAACCCTTGTTGTTAACCACTAAGACTTTGGGATTTCTACAGTATAACATAGCCAAGAATGAAGACAGAAATCAACATTTTAAGTTAGTCTGAACCAGGATGAAAGAAAGTTTTAGACATATTTCTTCCTCTGCTTTCTTTGTAAAGCAATTCTTCCTTGCTTTAAGTATTAAATTAAATTGAGTTACTGCAATTTTCTGGAATTCTAAATGACTCAAGTTCAAAGCCATTTATATGAGTAAAAGAACTGAAGGGGGCTGTGCAGTGGATTTGTTTTCTGCATCACAGTTTATTGACTATAAAAGTGAATTTTGAAATACACTCAGGGTTGAGCTACAGTATAATCCCCCTTTCATTGATAGGGGAACATGTGGCTGTCAGCCTGGGTGCTGGGAGAGGGCTGGCAAGATGCATGGTGAGGGTGACGGACCTCACAGATGAGAAAATTAGGACCCCCTTCCCTGCCATGGTCAGAGATGAAGAGTGATGAAATCAAAGAGATTCTGAGAAAATGAGTAACTGTTTCCTAGAAGACCAATTGAAGGACTGGAGTGCTTGGAAAAACTAACCAGCTGAGAATTTTCTGAAATTCAGAAATTAGACAAAAAGCATTGGCCAGGGGCTGTGAGAAGGGAAGGAAAGATGCGGATTCCAGAAATATAGTTTTCCTTTTATTTGGCTATCTGGGTCATGTTTTAATATTAGGATACCAACATTTAAACAAAATTAGTTGAGTAGAATTCCATATGTTTTCTATATTGTCAGAATTGATCTCTTTTATAAGTTTGAAAGAAATCACTATCGAACAATATGCACATAATGCCAGCAAGTATTTCCTCCATGATTATCAATCCACTTAGCTTTTAATTTTCTTGAGTCAACTTCAGAATCTTGTCTCCTTTCAGAAAACCAGCCAAAAGATTATTATTATTAGCATGTAACTATGCACAGTAGTCCCCTAATTTTAAAGTTCTCTCAATACTTTTTATATATCATTTTGTATTTATAATCTTATTTGTTTTTCCTTCTTCCAGGTTTGATTTTTGTTGCTTTATTCCGTTTTTAGTGGATCCTGGCCTGTACATCTCCTATTTTTAGGAACCTAAGGAGTATGGTGGAATCTCTGTAGGATCAATTATACAAATATATTTATCTTTATTAATTATATTGAGTAGCCTTATAATTATAATCAGTATCTTCCATAACTTAATTTTTTTGGACTACTTGATTTGTCAAAGACCACGAGTAACATATTAAAGTCTGTGAATTCTATCTCCATAAATTTTTCTTATACTCCTAATATTTCTTAAGTGAGGATATTCTTTAGTGCCAAAAGATTGATTTCCTAATCCAACATATAGTTATTGAGGATGACTCCATGCCAAAACTGAGATGGAGACACAAAGGTGAGCAAGACATAAATCTTGCTCTCCAAAGACAAGCACATAGGCAATTTTAATTCAGGGTGATACGCACTGTGACACGGGAAGCACAGGATGGCTTAGAAACCCATGGGGAAGGGAGAGGGGGGCCTAGAAGGCTTCCTGGAGAACAGGCATGCCATCTAAGACCCGGGAAAAAGAGTTCGCTAGGTGAATGGGGTGGGTGGGAGAAGCGTGTGGAGAAGGGAGGGGAGAAGGGCATGTCGGCCAGAGGGAACACCATTTCAAGGCCTAGGGAAGCAAAGCTCTACACCTACATGGAATGGCCTCATGTCAAGTTCTTTGGAGGACGAGAGCAGTAGGAGAAGGTGGTAGGGGATGAGGTGAGAGCTGTAGGTGGGGTGCCAATCAGTAAAGGCTTCTATGCCGTGGTGACAAGCTTGGTTGTTTTTGTTTTTATTTTTTTGTTGTGGGAAACTTACCCCCATTTTATCCTTTTTTTTTTTTTAAGATTGGCACCTGGGCTAACATCTGTTGCCAATCTTTTTTTTTTTCTCCCTTCTTCTTCTTCTCCCCAGAACTCCCCAGTAAACAGTTGTATATCATAGTTGTGGTCCTTCTGGTTGTGCTAGGTGGGATGCCACTTCAGCATGGCCTTATGAGCAGTGCCATGTCCATGCCAGGATCCAAACTGGTGAAACCCTGGGCCGCTGAAGCTGAGCATGCAAATTTAACCACTTAGCCATGGGGCTGGCCCCCATTTTACCCATTTTTAAGTGTACAGTTCAGTGGCATTAAGTACATTCACAGTGTTGGACAGCCATCACCACCATCTATCTCTAGAACTTTTTCGTCTTCCCAAACTGAAACTCTATACCCATTAAACACTGTCTCCCTATTCCTTCCTCCCCAAACCCTGGCAAAAACCACTCTACTTTCTATGTAAAGTCAACCCACAGCTAACATCATACTCAATGGTGAAAAACTGAAAGAGATCCTTCTAAGAGCAGCAATAAGACAAGGATGCTCACTCTTATTCAACATAGTATTGGAAGTCCTAGCCAGAGCAATTAGGCAAGAAAAAGAAATAAAAAGGATCCAAGTAGGAAAGGAAGAAGTAAACTCGTCACTATTTTTGGATGACATGATTTTATATATAGAAAACCTTAAATAATCCATCAAAAAACTATTAGAAATAATTAAAAAATACAGTAAATTTGCAGGGTACAAAATCAACATACAAAAATCAGTTCCACTTCTATTACTAACAACGAACTAGCA